AACTGATCTTACCCTAACCCTGACCTTCGAAGTAGCAAATTTTCCAGATCAAATTTGAGACCAGTGGAGCTCTTAATAGTGACATTGAAATCAACTACCCGGTGATAGTTGGCACAATACCGGTTCGGCCACAAAATCCAGCTCCAGTCATTGTGGTACCAAGTGCTCCGCCTATTATGGAATTCCCATCATCATCTACCACCAGCCCCACTGTCCCATCCGCTCCTCCAATGGAAAGTCCTCCACCATATTATGGAAGTAGCAATGCTCCAGGTGGACTAGTTTCAAAAAATTCGTTCAAAAGTCATTTAATAAGAAATTCTAGCATTTCCACCGGCTCCGCCTACTTACGAAGAATCAGTTCAAGGTGTTCAAGCCACTGCCATTGATGCAGAGAACATAGAGGTAGAGAATGGGTTGCTAGCCTAGAATCTCAAAAAAAAATTTACAGCCGTTCGCTCCTCGATATCCCTTTTACTCTTCACTTACAAACAATACAACGCAGAAGAATGGAGCGTTATGACGAAATACAAGTCATATTATACGAGTATTATTTATAGCCTCAGGCGATGCAATAAACTTACAAGAATCAGTGCTCAAAATATTCAAAGTAAGCTATGCCATCAAAGACTTCAGGGTAGAACACACAACAAGAAAACTTGCAAAAAAGCTTTGTATAAGAGTGGGACAGTACTTGCTTATTGAAATTTTGGAAAAGAGCAAATTGAGGTATAAAAATCGGGAAGCAATTTGCCGTCTTTTTGGCAATTGCATGCTTCCGAAAGATTAAGTAGTGAGATTATCAAACAGAACATATCAGAATGCTAATCTGAAAGACGTTTCTCCATGGAAATACAAGACATGGGAATTTGTCTAATTTTAATTATTCTTTGAAGAAATCTGATGAGCTTCTAAACTGTACAGAAAATCTACTATCTTCAGCTGATCGTATTATAACGGGGATTTGATTTAATTCACATAATATCTTTCCGTACGCGTTAGAGTTTTAATCTGTTAGACTATATAGAAATGTGACGTGAAATAAAAATAATGATGATTGATTCGTCTTATGCATTAATATTCAAGTCATATTCTGCAAAGTTACAATTGAATTAATTAATTTAGGGAAAGAATCATTTGTGGGCACAGCCTCATCCAATCCGTTTCGGCTTTCAGTGTCTTTTCCGAAATTCTAACTATTTTCAATGCGTAAGCAGAGGATTAAATTCACTGCTCGA